CTGGAATCGACAGTCAACTGAATGCTTCGTAGTACTTATAGAGTGTTAAAAGTTACCCATTGGAGCTGAGAAGTGGGGCGTGAATTGAGCTGGATTACCCGTAACTATAAAAGCCATAGAAAACGGAGGTCCTCCACCGCTAACCCCCGATTTTCCGTAGTAATTGTAAGGATTACTATTCATACCTAGAACAAATAGTTGAATAAACAATTAAAAAGTGATTAATACACAAGCGTAGCAAAGTCCAATGCATCTACAATGATAAAGCACAATTTTGAAAGAGAATCTGGATGGAAAACAAAGAATGAAAGTGATACAAGGAAAAACGAAATCAGTCGGATGCAGACGACCGCATCTGAGCCTGTAAGGTACTAAGGGGAGTCTACCCTTTAAATTGCCACGTAGAAAGCGCGTGAGGACCCATCCTCGGCGATCCCTTCAATATCGATCGCCTCCCTATTGGCAAGGTCTCCGCGTATTCTCTTCGCTCAGGGTAGGAATACACCGAAATTTTACGAATAGCATGAAATTGTTCGAAATTTAGGGGACCATCGAACCTCGACTCGTAGATGGTAATGGGAATCACGGAGCCCAACGGTAGAAACGTACAGATCGCCCAAGCTAAGCTGCCAGAGCAAGACACGAGGGCGGAGTCAGCCAATCAATGCGCATCCCTTCATAGTAGCCAGGAGTCCGCTCATACGCCTTGCCCTCGTTCTCCAACTATGTACAGCACCGGCGTCAGGATGGCGACAAGGAAGTTCGACCCTATTTTCAAGGTAAGTCACTTTATCAATTTAATGTGAACAATTTTCTTTGTTATTCCTTTTTTGTGTACATTTGTACTATGCGTTGTAGGTATCGGCTTCAGTTATCATCCTCTTATCTTCATAAAAAATTTCTTTATACTGGAATCGATTACCGAGATAACAAAACGTCACACTTGAGATTTTGAGAATTTTAGTTTTTCAAACTAAATGAAATTGCGATTTTCGATTAAAGAAAGGAAATTCGTGGTGAAAATGTAGTGG